CAGGGGTCTGTCCAGGCCGAATTTACTACCGTTTAGCGGTACCTTCACAAATTCAACTTTAGGAAAAACGGTAGTTTCACAAATTCAATTTTGGAAAAACGGTAGTTTCACAAAATACTTTTTCTTAAAATTTCATTTTTGTATCCCTTAAGAAACGATAAATCCATATTTTTGTGTTGATTTCTTAATATAATTTTTAATTTTTCACAAATTACGTCTAAATTTTCACAAAATCGGTACCTGTCAGAAAAACCTAGACAGATTCCTGCCTGTTCACACCACCTAGAACTGCCAGCTCCCCAAAAGGATTTTAAACTCGTAAAGATATTCTTAAAAACTAAATAAAACATTTGGAAGCTTGCCTTAGAAGCCCTTCTATAGCATTGTTTTTTTTATTATCATTATTTCTTGCAGGATAATGCCCAGAAATCAACAAACATATGTACAGGTATCTATACAGAAATCATCTGGAAAAAAAAAAAAAAAAAAAACAGAATTGCACTTTTTCTTTTTTAGGATCAAAAGCATAGAGAAGACAATTTAGTCAAATTGTTAATATAGTTAGCAATCAATATAAACTTCACTTGCCTGATTTAAATTAATAGATCAGATCAATCAAAAATAAAATCTAACTTTTTCTTTCTGAATCAAAACTATTTACTAGTTGTAGATCGTTGACTTATCTAAATATTGAAGTTTAACTGTATCATCTATGTTATTGATATATTTACTTTAGATTGTCCTCAAAAAAGAATAATTCTTCCCTTTGCAATTCGCATTTAAAAAAAATTTCAGTTAACAAATTTAATAACGTATGACAGAGTATGTTAATATTTCTGTATGCAAAATATTTCTAAACCAATAGTGTTATAATTGTGGGGACAATTTTAAAAAAAAATAAGTATGTTCTACACATAGGATGAATTAGTATCATTCCCAATATTAAAATTTTAAATAGAATACATTTTTATCAAAGCACTATGTATGCATATGGGAATAATTTAATATGGATTTTCATCAGCATAAGTATCATTTAAATTACCAAATGTTGAGCTTTTTCTGCATATTTTCTACTTTTCGATTAAAATCTAAATTTCAATAAAAAAAATTATACTTTGACTGTTTACGAAATTAAACTTCGCCTTTTTATTTTAAAAAATTTAGCATCTGCCATAATTTATGAGTCATTTCTCAATTGAACAATACATTAACTACGGAATCAGGAACTACACAGTTCATTTTTGAAAGCAAAATATAAACAAACAATCTCAGTCAACGGAACAGTGAGCAGATGAAATGAGTAATTTTTTTCACATTTCCAGTGAAGTGATTCAAAACTTATTATTTTTTTGCATCGACTAATGTTTAATCACTCTGATAATAGAAAATTGATTTTTTATTTACTCCTTCAGAGCCTTAATTCAATAACTTTTTAAATTTATTCTGTACTATTGTTATAAACAGAACTAATACAACTCTACTTTATCCCCTATCACTTTTGTTGATAAACAAAAGAACAAAAAGCTATTGAAACGCAGAGCTATAAGCGATAAGCAGAGAGCTCGCAGCACTTAACTATACTCAATACTCAATACAAAAAGTANGAGGAAAACTGGTTCCCTCCGCCAGAAACGTTATCTTCCTTCCTCGGCGACTCTTCGCCAACTTGCCGTAGTTATGATAATATCCCCTAGCTAATAAATTTACTATTTTAAAAATCATAGTCATTAGCCGACAATTTGTACTTAATATGAAGCGTTCCTACTCTTCCTCGTTCTTATATTCCTACTTTTTAGAATTGCATTTTATTGTTGTTCTATTATTATATCTTTTCTTATTCGCATCTTAAATATTTGATGCCGCATTTAAACTAAACTAGTCATGTATAAATTGTAAATAAATGTAAATTATAATTATTTAATGTTTCTGTTCTTCAAACCATTCATTACGCTTCACTGGTGACCCGGACGGATCTTTTCTGCTGTAAAGCATTTCAAGTATTTCTTAGAAGGACATAATTTTACCATTTACACTGACCACCGTCCTCTAATTTACGCATTTCTGCAGAAAGGTGATAAAGCATCACCGTGACAAATGAGGCATCTAGATTTTATCAGCCAATTTACAACTGATATACAGCACATTTCTGGTGTAGATAATGAAATAGCTGACGTACTATCAAGAGCTGAAGAAGTTGTCCTTCCGGAAAAGATTGATTTTAGTGCACTAGCCAAGGAGCAAGAAACTGATGAAGAGCTCAAAAATCTCATAAAATCAAATACTAATCTAAAGTTTGAAAAATTACCTGTTTTTGGAACCGATAAAGAAATATATTGTGACATTTCCACAGGAAAACCACGACCTTATGTGACAAAGGCATTTCGAAAAGTAATATTTTCGTCAATCCATAATCTATGTCATCCAGGGGCTCGAGCTACAGCACATCTAGTGACAAAAAAGTTTGTATGGCCTTCAGTGAACAAAGATGTCAAAGAATTCACTAAAAACTGTCTATCTTGTCAAAGATCCAAGATACAGAGACATGTGCATAAACCAGTTGGGGAGTATGTATCAACCTCAAAAAGATTTGACGAAATTCATCTGGACATAATTGGACCTTTGATAACTTCCGAAGGACAAAGATATTGTGTAACCCTAATAGACTGGTTTACTCGCTGGCCAGAAGCCATACCGGTGCCTGATATTAAAGCTAACACCGTTGCAGAAGCAATTTATAGTGGTTGGATTTCTCGCTTTGGAACACCGTCAATAATAATTACAGATCAAGGAAGTCAGTTCGAGTCATCTCTTTTCACCAAACTTGGGAATCAAGCGAAGGCGAACCACATCTTACAATCCTGCTTGCAATGGGTTTATAGAGCGATGGCATCGAACTCTGAAAAATAGCATCATGTGCCATAATAATCCTCAGTGGACGAAAGTTCTACCTACTGTACTATTGGGGCTACGCTCCACTTTCGGAGAAGAATTCCAAACAACTCCATCGGAAATTAATTCCTACTTTTTAGAATTGCTTTTGATTGTTGTTCTATTATTATATCTTTTCTTATTCGCATCTTAAATATTTGATGCCGCATGTAAACTAAACTAGTCATGTATAAATTGTAAATAAATGTAAATTATAATTATTTAATGTTTCTGTTCTTCAAACCATTCATTACGCTTCAAATACACCCTTTCATAATTTACATATGTTTACAAAATTTATTATAATAGAGAAAGTGTAGCCATCTTTGATAAGTTTTTATTCTAATTTTTTATGGTACATGTTTTTTTTTATATATATAATTTAGTTTTAGAATCGATTTTTTAAAAAATCACAATCGTTCAGTGACATTTTTCATTTTATCTTTTGCATATCTTTTCTAAATTTTATTTACGTTTTACGTGCATTTAAAAAAAATAACTACTATAATGATAGTGGAATTGTGTATCACATCTTCCATCTTAATATTTATTTTTAAATGAGTATTTTTTGAATAATGTCTCTTCAAAACTTTGTTTCTGTTTTACTGTTGTTTACAAAAATAACATGATGAGAGTCAAATTATAGTCTCTCTTTATAAGTTCTAATTTTTTTTAGGTTACGTGTTATTTTATTATTTAAATTTATGTTGTGTCTTAGAAACAAACCATGAATGTGGTTGTATAATTTTTGTTCATAGATTATTAGAAGCTTATGTCAATTATCTGCACCTGTAAAAAGCTGCTTCTGGCATGAAAACCCTCGATTTTTTGCACAATTTGTTTTCAAGTAATGCATTTTTAAAAATTTCTTTAATGTTTATATTTTTTAAGAAGCTGTATCTTAAAATCTATTACACCTTCAAAGCTATATTTTCTGTCCTCTAGTTCACTCTTATAGCTTCAGAAGTTCCTAACATTTTAATTTTTTTTTTAATAATTAAGCTATTATATATTTTGTCAAATTATATTAAAAATTTACCTCTCTATGGTAAATAGTTTTCAAGTTTTAATTATTTAAAAATTATAATGCTGGCTGTGAAAATTTCCAGAAATACTTAACTTGGAAAGAAATGGTGTGAAGAGTGAATCTTGGTAATTTTCTTCCATTCTCCTCTACCTATGAGCCAAAACTAAGCAACACAAATACCTAACATTTTATCCAATGGTTGATTTAATGTGATGTAAAGACTAATAAGAAATGAATGTACTAAATATCTTTATTAAATAATAAATTGTTATCAAAAATTTTATTTTTCATTATAGGTTGAAATCTTCATATGGATGAAAATACAAAAATGATCAGAATACCTTCTATGAAGTTCATTTAAGAAAAACTGTTGAAGAAAGAACAATTACAGAATTTCCTAGAGTAAACAAAATTGTGGGCATATTTAATAGAAATTTATGCTGCATGAAACAATG